GCTCCGGGCCTGTGATTTCCTCCTGTATATGCTGCTCTTCTTAAATGAGAGTGTCTATGGACGTTAGGCTGTGTCCCAGAGTTGCATGTTGGATGTGTGTGGGCTAACTTGCACTTTTCTTCATAGGTCTTCAGATCAAGAGGAGATACACTTGAGGAGCCAGTTCTGGGGACTCTGATCTACACCGGGTCTTTATTTAGATGATTGGATGCAAGACCTGGCCCTGATGTCATGATGGAATGGGACTTTTGAAGTCTTGACAAAGCATATAGTACATTCTACATATGAGAAGGATGTGAACTGTGATCAGAGTGCTGTTAGATCGTGTTCTCCAAAGATTGTCACAATAATAATTCCCATCTCACATGTTCTTATCCAATGTGATGTTGTCACTTCCCATCAAATGGTATAGAATGATTTTTCTTCCCTTGGATGTGGAAAGACTTGTGACTACTTTACCAGTAGCGTATGGTAAAGGAGATGACATGTGACCTTATAAGGGTGGTTCATAAAAAGGAGGTGCATCTTTTACCTTATTTTCTAAACACTTGCACCTAGTACTTTATAGACAATTGTTTGAGAAATTCAGGTATCTGATACAGGCCAGCTGTGAGAAACCCAGGTTTTCTGGGGGAGGCTTGAGTATAAAGTCCACTGTCAGCAGTTTCGGACACCTGTGAGTTGAGTCATTCTTACTGAGAGGGTCCATGAGCATTGTGCAGAGACAAGCCAAGTCCAAATTCCCAGGTTCCAGGATCCATAGATTTCCTTAAATAGTAGTTTTATGTACTAAACTTTGAAGTAGTAACTGGAACAACTGAATAGCATGAAACTATTAATTATAGCAAGGCAATATATGTGTTGGTACAGTAAGAATAAAGAACAAACCATGATAATGTGTAAAAGTAAATTGCAGTAAAAAAGTTTGTGATGCAAATTTTAGCTGCCTGGTGACTTGCTTGCATTTTTGTTCTGGAGCACTGATTGTTGGCTCAATTTGAGTTCTAGATGTGCCAGTACATATTAATTAGAACTGGTTTGTTGTAGCATTTCATTTGAGTTGAACTTTGTTCTCCTGATTAAGAATTCAATAAACATTATGATTCTTATAATTTGCCTCTGTATTTTACACACAGTAGATACAAAATAAGTATTGATTACCTGAATATTACACTCATATTTTAGATTACATGCTTATGAGTTTAAGACATGTTAAAATGCTGTAATATTAGTAAATCAGGAATATGTACCAATATTAACCTATTAATTAGATTGTTGTCTTTTGAGGAACTTTATTCAAACTCTCTCAGTAACTTATAGCTCCAATTTGAATTTCATACAAGTCAGTAAATCAGGAGGTAAAAGAGCATATTCGCCCAGCAGTTAATAAAAATATTACTATAATTTTGGGGAGTTTTACTGACATCTAGTGGCATCCAGTCCTGTGTTAAAAATTCTTTTTAATTTTATTTCATTTTTTCTTTCCAAGACTGTTTTCTCTAGAATTTTTAAAGCATTTTAAGTAAAAAGACATTTCAGGAATCTAAGGGAAGAGTAGCATTGTTTTTGAGGATTTGTGTTAGTATACATATACATTACATATAATTTAACATAGTAAATTTGATGATGCCGATCATTCTTAAATGTGGCTTTCATCTTCTACTTTCTTTTCCTCTTTTCTTAGATCCTCTTTCCTCTTCCTTTTTTTGTTCATATAATTCTGCCATTCCTGCCCTAAGACAGTTTGTAATTAGATCATAGATTTTCTCCATGTGCATGAAATTCATTGCATGAGTGAATATACTTCTATAAACTTGAATATAATTGTTTTAGAAAATAAGATCATATGATTTCTAATTTTGCTTTTATAATTCAGCATGCCACTTGAAAATCTAAGATAAATAATGTAATTCTATTTCTTCCTTTAAATGCATGCTTCCTATTTAAAACTGTGGGTGTATTTTCATTTTGGTTCATGATTATTCTGATAGATCTTCCTCTTTTTTTTTTAATTTCCTTGAATATTGCCTCAATACACATCTATGCATGTATATCCATATGTGGGGTAACTTTCTCCAGAATAGCTTTATTTATTTATTTATTTATTTATTTTAGTTGACCAGTAGAGTTATAGACAGGGAGAAAGACAGAAAGGTCTTCCTTCCATTGGTTCACTTCCCAAATGGCCACTACGGCTGGTGCTGCACTGATCTGAAGCCATGAGCCAGGTGCTTCTTCCTGGTCTCCCATGGGGGTGTAGGAGAGGGGCCCAGGCACTTGGGCCATCCTCCACTGCCTTTCCGGGCCACAGCAGAGACTGGACTGGAAGAAGAGCAACTGGGACTAGAACTCGGCGCCTGTATGGAATGCTGGAGCTGCAGGCGGAGGATTAACCTAGTGAGCCACAGCGTCGGCCCCCCAGCATAGCTTTTGATCAGTGAAATTTCTGGCTAAAAGAATGCATTTTAAATTTTAATAGCTGTTGCAATATTGCTTTCAAAAATAACTGAAATGTTTAGAGCAATTTATGTTAATACATTTTTCATATAACACCATTGGTAGGTTTTACAAAATTTTAAATATGCTTTCCTGTATAATGGGTTTTAGATGATTTGTTTTTTTGAGTTTTCTGATTACTTGAGAATTTGAGCAACTTTTTGTGTTTATTGAATCTGAATCTTTTCTATCAATTTGTTATTTCTAACTTCTACATATTGCATCTTGTGAGATGTTAATCCCCCGTTTCTCACCCAGTTTATGGGTATTTTTATGGCAAAAGTCCTGGCGTGGCTTTACCCCTGCATGTAAGTAATCATGTCTGTGTTCTTTCTGTGACTCTGGGTTTACAGGAGTGATAAATTTCCCTCACACATGGATTTTATTCCCCCCATCCCCTCTTTGAACAATGTTTTTCAAGATTTTACTGTTGCATTTTGCATCAGTCTTAATTCAGCTGAAATTTAATTATTGAAAGTTTTAAAAATTATAGCATACACTGAGAAGTACAGTCAGTGAGTGAGTGAGTGTGAACACACCCTAATAATCACCAAACCAGTCCCTCAGAATAATTTCTTCTAAGGATTCAACTCTTACATTCCTCAAAATTAACCATTGTGCTTTTTTTTTTTTTTTTTTTTTTTTTTTTTTTTTTTTTTTGACAGGCAGTTAGAAAAGTCTTCCTTTTTCTGTTGGTTCACCCCACAAGTGGCCGCTACAGCCAGCATGTTGTGGCCGGCGCAGTACACCGATCCGAAGCCAGGAGTCAGGTGCTTCCTCCTGGTCTCCCATGTTGTGCAGGGCCCAAGGACCTGGGCCATCCTCCACTGCACTCCTGGGCCACAGCAGAGAGCTGGACTGGAAGGGGAGCAACCGGGACAGAATCCAGTGCCCCAACTGGGACTAGAACCCGGGGTGTCGGCACCGCAGGTGGAGGATTAGCCTAGTGAGCCACGGCGCCGGCCCCATTGTGCTTTCCATGACAATTACTTCCCCTTTTCTCTTCATGTTTTTATCTTCTGAACGGTGTTACCATTATAGTTCAGTTTTTGGTTGTCATTGACCTTACCTTACAATGAGTACATTTCTGTACATTTTAAAATCTTTATTACCTTTCACTTTATGTCTGAGTTTTCTCTACATGGTGAAAGGCTGCAGCTTGTTAATTCTCTTGCTGTATCGCATTTTGTGGTGTGAATATGTGACTCCTTTTCTGTTTTCTCATTGAGGGGTATTTGGGTTGTTTTTGCTTTATGGCTTTATAGAGTACTGTTCTTTGGAACATTGACATATATTACTCTAGATGCTTATATGCAATTTAGAATATAATTCAGAAATTGGCACATAGGGCATGTATGTATCCAGTTTCAATAGATCCATAATTATTTCCAATAGTTTTCTAAAGTGGTTAGACCCAGTTTATATTTACAGTAATTATGTAAGAATTCTAGTACACCTTTACCAACACTTGGTTTTATGTCACTTTTTGTCTTATTCTGATCAATAGTTATTTGTATATCAATTTGGTTTTAGTTTGCATTTGTCTAATAACTAATGAAGTTGAATAACTTTCCATACATTGTATTTTGATTGGGATCACATTGGATCTGTAAATTGCTTTCAGTAGTATGGATGTTTCGATGATAATGATTCTTTGAATCCATGAAGATGGAAGATTTTTCCCCATTTTTTGTGTCATCTTTTTTTCTTTAATGTTTTGTAATTTTCATTGTAGAGACCTTTGTCCTTGGTTAAATTTATTATGAAGTATTCGTTTATTTTTTGTAGCTATTGAAATGGGATTGATCTTAGAAGTTATTTCTCTGCCACAGCATTGTCTGTGTATACAAAGGCTATTGATTTTTTGTGTTGATCTTATATTCTGCCACTTTACCAAACTCTTTTATGAGTTCAATAGTTTCTTAGTGGAGTCTTTTGGCTCTCCTATGTATAGAATCATGCATCTTCAAATAGGGACAGCTTGACTTCCTCCTTCCCAATCTGTATCCCTTTGATTTTTTTCCTTGCCTAATGGCTCTGGCTAAAACTTCCAGAACTATGTTGAGTAGCGATGGTGAGAGTGGGCATACTTGTCTAGTTCTGAATCTTACTGGGAATGCTTCCAACTTTTCCCAATTCAATAAGATGCTGGCTGTGGGTTTGCCATAAATTGCTTTGATTGTACTTAGGAATGTTCCTTCTATACCCCATTTGCTTAAGGTCTTCATCATGAAAATATATTGTATTTTATCAAATGCTTTCTCTGCACTATTGAGATAATGATGTTTTTGTTTTGCAGCTTGTTAATGTGATGTATCACATTTATTCATTTTTGAATGTTGATCCATCCCTGTATACTAGGGATAAATCCTACTTTGTTCAGGTGAATCATCTTCCTGATGTGTTGTTGGATTTGATTAGTTAGTATTTTATTGAGGATTTTTGCATCTGTTCATCAGAAATTGATCTATTATTCTCTTTCTCTTTTATTTTTTCTGCTTTAGGAATTAAGATGATTGAGACTTCATTGAAGGAATTTGGGAGGATTCCCTCGTTTCAATTGTTTTGAATACCTTGAGAAGAATTGGAGTTACTTCTTCTTTAAATGTATGGTAGAATTCATCAGTGAAGCCATCTGGCCCTGGACTTTTTTTTTTTTTTTTTTAAAGATTATTTATTTATTTATTTGAAAGAGTTGCACAGAGAGGAGAGAAGAGGCAGAGAGAGGGGTCTTCTATCTGTTGGTTCACTCCCCAGTTGGCTGCAAGCAGCCAAGGCTGTGCCTATCTGAAGCCAGGAGCCAGGAGCTTCTTCCAGGTCTCCCACATAGGTGCGGGGGCCCAAGCATTTGGGCCATCTTCCACTACTTTCCTAGGACATAGCAGAGAGCTGGATTGGAAGTAGAGCAGCCAGGACTCGAACCAGCACCCATGTGGGATGCCAGCACTGCAGGCGGTGGCTTTACCTGCTGTGCCACGGCGCCAGCCCCTCCTTTTACTTTCAGGATGCAGATATCTTTGTTGCTGAGATATGTTTTTTGTAAGCAGCAAATAATAGATGGGTCTTGTTTTTTAAATCATTCAGCCAGTCTGTATCTTTAACTGGAGAGTTGAGTCCATTTCATTCAGCGTTGATGGATAGGTAATGACTCAGCCCTACCATTTTCCTATAAAATTCCCATTGCTTACTTTGGATTTCCTTTGTATTTTTTACTGGTAGATTTTAAGGCTTCGCGTCTTTCATAGAGATGACTGTTTCTTAGTGTAGCACATCCTTAAGCATCTTTTTTAGGCTGGACAGGTGGTGACAAATTCTTTCAATTTCTGTTACGGAAGTTCTTTGTATCACCTTTATTCATAATCAGCTTTGCAGGGTACAGTATTCGGTGTTGTCAGTCTTTATTCTCTTAACACTCGGACTATGTCTTGCCCTTCTCTCTTAGCCTGTAGGGTTTCTGATGAGATGTCTACCATGAGTCTATTTGGAGATCCTCTGAAAGTAACCTGGTGTTTCTCTTGTGTACATTTTAGAATCTTTTCCTTATGGTTTTCTGTGGAAAATTTGAATACAATGTGTTGTGGTGAAGATCTTTTTCAGTAAGGTCTGTTATGAGTTATAAATTGAGGAAGTTTTCTGTAATTATTTCATTAAAAGGCATTCTAATCCATTGTCTTTTTCTATGCCTTCAGGAACCCCTTAGACCCATATGTTGGGTCATTTGATAGTATTCCATAAATCTCCAACACTGTTTTTAATTTTTCTAATTTCTTCTTTTTTTTTTGTTGGCCTGACTGTAAAATTTCCAGATATTTTTCTTCTAAGTTAGATCTTCTTTCTTCTGCCTTGCCAAATCTGTTGTTAAGGCTTTCTAGCATATTTTTAAATTTGATCTATTAAATTCTTCATTTCTAATATTTCATTTTGATTTCTCTTTAAAATCTCAATTTTGTGGGAAAAATTTTCATTCCTGTCATGTATGAATTTCCTTAATTCATGGATTTGCTGCTTATTCTGAGTAATTCTGTGATTCATTTTTTAAATTTCATTTCTGGCATTTCATCGTTCTCTTCATCTTTACGTTCTAGTATTGAAGTGTTGTTGTGATGTTCCTTTGAGGGCATGATGCTGTCTTCCTTGTTCTTTGAATTTTTCTGTTTGTTTTTACTTTTGTTGCTGTTTTCTCTGATGGCTTTTATCTTTGGACTGTTCCTCTGTTGCTTAGTGGAGTGTCTTCTCTTTGAGTGAATACCCAGAGGTATACTTGGTGTGGCCAGGGAGCTCTGTTCAGGGTGAGGAGAGTATCCACAGTGACAGCCAATTTGGGTGTGGTAGAATTCCTCTTATTTTTAGCAGAGGGGAGGGTTTGATCAGTTTTCTTGCCATATTCTCATCCTCTCCTCCCCTCCCCCCCACCAAGATGACCAGTGCCCAGGGGCTAGCCCCAGTGGGTGCAATGTTCTTTCACACTGCCACAAGGACCACACAAAGGATCCATGCAGTTCTCAGTGTGAGTACAGATCCCACAGCAGTGACCTACCCCAGGAAATCAGTGAGCACTACACATGTGGAGCTGCCCACAGCGAATGCTCAGAGACAAAGCCATACCTTGTTAACTCCCATGCAGCCAGTGTTTCCACAGTCCCAGCACATAAGGCTCCCACAATCAAGGGGCACCAAGGGTCCAATCTGCCCTGCCAGTCCATCCCATCCACAGAGAAGATGCAATGTGTAGGAGAGAAATTGACATTTTGAGATGTGATGATTGTTCACAGACCTTGTCTCTGCTGTTGAAGAATAGTGTTTTTTTTTTTTCCTTCATATAATTTGTTGAACTGTTTACTTACTATAAGGTTAATCTTATGAGTATAAAGCATATTGAAAATAGATCATTGTACAAATTAAGAGTGGGAATGGGTGAGAGGAGGAAGGGTGGGAGCATTGGCTGGAGAGAGGGTATCATGGGAAACATCACTATGTATAAAATGCATGAAATTCATATTTCTTAAATTTAATAAAAATAAAATGAGGGTCTGGTGTGAGTGGCCACAGGTCCCCCCCCCACCCCCCGACACACAAAAAAGATTTATTTGAAAGAGTTACACAGAGGGAGGGAGAGACAGCATGAGAGCAAACTTTCATCCACTGGTTCATTCCCTAGAAGACCTTAAAGGCCAGGTCAAACCCACCAGCCAAGAGTTTCTTCCAGGTCTCCCACTTGGGTGGCAGAGTCTTCATTGCTTTTCCCAGGCCATTAGCAGGGAGCTGGATCAGAAGTGGAACAGCTGGGACTTGAACAGGTACCTATATGGGTTGATGGAACAGCAGGTGTTAGCTTACCCTCCTATGCCACTACACTGGCCCCTTTTACCTATATATTTTTTGAGTTTTCAAGGTTTTATAACACAAAATGTGTACCTGAGCTATCCATTTTCTGTGCTGTGCAACCTTGCATTGAGGTTAGTGACCCTCACGGCCAGTTGGACTGCTCTTTCCACGATGGCTTTTTGGAGGAAACATTGTGTGCAGTCCCCACATAGTAGGATTTGTTGTACATCAGAAATACCTCAAACTCCTTGACATTGTGGACTGTGAACTTCCGGAGGCCACTGAGCAGCATGTGCTTTGTTTTCTCGTTCCTGTAACCAATGTTGGACATCAACATTACACCCTTGAATCATTTCCTCACTATGTTTTCAATACCTCTGGGTTTCTGCTAGTTATGCGTAATCTTGGCATATCAGACTGGCGCAGGTCCTTTTTTTTTTTTTTTTTTTTTTTTTTTTTTTAAGTCTTGGGCTCACCAGCGTTCTGAGGGAAGCCATATACTGACTGTAAGGTTGCCACCTCCATAAGTAGTGCCAAGGAAGAAACGGGCTTTTGCCAACTTCTTGACAGGTTGTTTTTTTGATTGTTGAATTTTATGAGTTACTGATACATTCTGGATATTAATCCTTTTTCAGATACATACCTTTCAACTAACTTTCCACATTTGGTTGGATGTTTAATTACTCTAATGTGCAGAAACTTCTGATTTTGATATAACCCCGTTTTGCTAGTTTTGCTCTTGTTTCATCACCCACACCAGTGTCTTGAAGTGTTTCCTCTACATTTTATTCCAGCAACTTCATAGTTTCAGGTCTTTATTTGAGTTGATTTTTGTAAATGGTGAGAGGGAGGGATCTAATTTCATTTTTCTATGTGTATATCTCTAATTTTGCCTTCGTCATTTATTGGAGACTATTCTTTCTTCAATGTATAGTCTAGGCACTTTTGTCAAAAATCAGTTGGATGGGCTGGCGCCGCGGCTCACTAGGCTAATCCTCCGCCTTGCGGCGCCCCCACACCGGGTTCTAGTCCCGGTCGGGGTGCCAGATTCTGTCCCAGTTGCCCCTCTTCCAGGCCAGCTCTCTGCTGTGGCCCGGGAGTGCAGTGGAGGATGGCCCAAGTCCTTGGGCCCTGCACCCCATGGGAGACCAGGAGAAGCACCTGGCTCCTGGCTCCCGCCTTCGGATCAGCGCGGTGCGCCGGCCGCGGTGGCCATTGGAGGGTGAACCAACGGCAAAAAGGAAGACCTTTCTCTCTCTCTCTCTCTCTCACTGTTCACTCTGCCTGTCAAAAAAAAAAATCGGTTGGATGTATGTAAATGGATTAATTTCTTGGCTCTGTATTCTGTTCCATTAATCTGTATGCCAGTAATATCAGCGTCATGCTGTTTTAATTACTATTTCTTGGTAGTCTTCTTTGAAGTCAGGTATTGTAATGCCTCAAACTTGATTGTCTTTTTTCTAAGGATCACTTTGACTGTTCTGGGTCTTTTGTGATTCCATATTAATCTTAAGATTCATTTTTCTAATTCTGTAAAGAATGTCATTGGTATTGATAGATTGCATTGTATCTGTAGACTGATTTATATAAGAGGGACATTTTCATATTCTTCCAATCTATGAGCAAGGACTATTCTATTTTTTTCTTTGTCCTTGGTGATTACATTCATGAATGTGGTTATAATTTTCATTATAGAGGTCTTTCACTACTTTTGTAAACTTTATTCCTATACACTTGATTTTTTTTGTGTGTGTGGCTATTGTAAATGGGATTTATATCTTGATTTCTCTTTCAGCAAATACATTATTAGTATATAGAAAGCTACTTTTTTTGTACTGCAACCTGAAAAATTACTGAATTGGTTTATTGTGACAGCTTTTTGATGAGATATTTAGAATTTTCCTTGTATAACATCATGTCATCTGGGAACATGAATATTTTGACTTCTTTCTTACCAGTTTTGATTTACTTTATCTCTCCTTCCTAATTGTTCTTGTCAATACTTCCAGTACTATATTGAAGAAGTGTTAAGTGGACATCCTTGTCTTGTTCCAGATGTGAGGGACAATTCTTTCAGCTTTTCCCTGTTCAGTATGATATTAGCTGTTGATGTCATATACAGCCATTTTGTTTTGAAATATGTTCCTTCTGTACCTAATTTGTGGTTTTTATCATGAAGAGATATTGAATCTTACCAAATGCTTTCTCTGAATCTATTGAAATGACCATATAGATTTTGTTTTATGATGTTGAATTATGACATTTATTTATTTGTGAATCTTGAACCATGCTTGCATCTTTGGGATAAATTCCACTCTTTCATGATGTATGACCTTTTTGATATAGTTTTGGATTTGGTTTGCTAGATTTTGTTGAACTGTATCCACTTTCCATCAGGGACTTGGATCTGTAGTTTCATTTCATGTTGTGTCTTTGGTATCGATATCAGTGATATTGACTTGATAAAAAGAATTTGGCAAAGTTCCATCCTGTTAAATATTTTGAAATAATTGAGATGTGTTGGAGTTAGTTCCTCTTTAAATGCTTTGCAGAACTGAGTAGTAATGCTATGAGGTCCTGGACTCTTCCTTGATGGAAGACTTTTAATTACTGCTTCAATATTGTTGTTCAGATTGTTTATATCTTCTTGGTTTGATTTTGGTAGGTTATATGTATCTCGGACCTTGTCCATTTCTTTGAGTTTGTCCACTTTATTGACATGTAATTTTCCATATTTCTTATAATCCTTTGCATTTCATTGGTGTCATTTGTAATATTTCCTTTTAATTTTATCTGAATTTTCTCTTTTTCAGTATGGCTGAATATTTGTCCATTTTGTTAGTCTTCTCAAAATGTTTTTGATTTTTTTTTAGTTTCAATTTCATTTTATTTCTGCTCTGATCTTTATTATTTCTTGCCTCTTTATAACTTTGGGTTTGTTTTGTTTTTGTTTTTCTAAGTCTTCAAGATGCATCATTAGATCATTTGAGACTTTTTTTTAATGTAAGCACTTAATGCTACAAACCTCCTTCTATCACAGCTTTTGCTGTATTCCACTGGTTTTGATATGTTGTGTTTTTGTTTTCACTTATTTCAAAATGTTTTTGATTTATTTTATGTTTCAAGTATTTATTTGAAAGAGTTACAGAGGGAGGGAGGGATAGAAAGAAAAATCTTCCATCTGCTGGTTCACTCCCTAAATGGCTGCAACAGTTGGGGTTGGGCTGGGCCAAAGCAAGGAGAGAGAGCTTGTTTCAGGTCTCCTGAGTTAAGGGGCCCAAGCACTTGGGCAATCCTGTGCTGCTTTCCAGGCACATTAGCAGAGAGCTGGATTGGAAGTGGAACGGTGCTCATATGGGATGCCAGCATTGTAGGTGGCAGCTTAACCCTCTATTCCACAATGCCAGCCTCTTGATTTACTTTTTCATTTCTTCAGTGACCCATTGATCATTCAGTAGCATGTTTAATTTCTGTGTAGTTAGGAGTGTTTTCTTGTTCTTGTTGATTACTAGTTTTATACCTTTGTGGTCTAAGAATAAAAATGGTGTGATTTCAGTCTTTTAAAATTTAGTAAGAGTCAATTTGTGGCCTAATATATGGTATATCCTAGAGAATGGTACATGTGCTGATGAGAAGAATGTGTTTTCTGTAACTGTTGGGTGGAATGTCCTCTGACAGGTCCCTAGTCACCCATTATTATTGTTTTGGAGTGTATCTCCCCCTTTAGGTCTAACAGTATTTGCTGTATTTTTCTTCGTGGTCCTATATTGATGTCCTTTGTTTCTTTCTATATTTTTAAATGTGAAGTCTTTTTATCCGAGTGTTGCTGCTCCTGTTCACGTTTGGTTTCCGTTTGCCTGATAACCGTTTTTGAGTCCTTCACTTTTCTGTTCATGTCTTTGTTTCTGAGGTGAGTTTCTTGTAGATAGAATATAGTTGGTTCCCCTTTAAAAATCCATTCATCCAAGCTAAATCTTTTGGTTGAGGACTTAATCTATTTTGACTCTAGGTTAGTATTGATGGAAAGAATTAACACCTGCCATTTTGTTGACTGGTTTCTAATTTTACCAGTTCCATTAGTAATTTTAGTAGTGTTGTGTTTTCATGTTTATTTCTAACATAAGGCTCCATAATTTCTTTTTCTTTTTTTAACATAGAAACCTTTTATTTAAAGGACACAAATTTTGTGCATTTCATAAATATAAATTTAGGAACACTTACTCTTTCCACCCTTCTTGCATTCCCATCCTTCCTCTTCCCTCTCATATTCCTATTGTTATTTTGACCAAGTTCTAATTTTTAAAGATTTATTTATTTATTTGAAAGTCAGAGTTACACAGAGAAGGAGAGTCAGAGAGAGGGATCTTCCAGCTGCTGGTTCACTCCCCAGTTGGCCACAACGGCTGAAGCTGCACCGATCCGAAGCCAGGAGCCAGGAGCTTCTTCCAGGTTTCCCACGAGGGTGCAGGGCCCTGAGGACTTGGGCCATCTTCTGCTTTCCCAGGCCATAGCAGTGAGCTAGATTGGAAGTGGAGCAGCCAGGACTCAAACTAGTGCCTGTATGGGATGCTGGTGCTGCAGGTGGCAGCTTTACCTGCTATGCCACAGCGCTGGCCCCACTAAGATCTATTTTCAATTAATTTTATACGCAAAAAGATTAACCCCATACTAAGTAGAGAGTTCAACAAACAGTATGAAAAAACATTTTTTTTTCCTCAACAGTTAAGACAATGGCTGTTCAAAGTCATTGCATATCATAAGGCTAGTCTGGTGGTGGTGAGTTCTCTGTTTTTGTTCTTTTAAGACCTTGAATGTATCATCCCAATTCTCTTCTGGCCTGTAGGTTTTCTGCTGAGAAGTTTGCTGTTAGGCTAGTTGGTTTTTCCTTATATGTAACTTGATTTTTTTTTGAGGGACACTTTTGATAAATCCTCAGTCACTGTATCTTCCAATATTCTGCTCATTATCTCTCCTTTTCTGCTGAGATTTCAACAATAATCATACTACAGGTTTTCTGTATATCAAATGTTTTATGTTATTTTCATTATTTCCATCCTTTTCATTCTGTTTTAGTCTAGATTTTCTACTGAAATCTTCTATATATTAATCCTATCTTTAGCTACATCTATTCCAATTTTATAACCACTGTATTGAGTTTGTAATATTATGAATGCATTTTTAGTTTTATAATTTTTTGAGGTTTTTCATTGTTGTCTATCTCTGCAAACATGTGTTGTTTTTAAATCTCATTAACATGTATATCAGTTACTTTATAATCTATTTCATAACTCCATTATTAGACTTTCTTCTGAGTCTGTTTCTATTGTTTTTTTCTTCCATGCATTTCTGTAAATGTTGTCTTGTTTACTTTGATGAAGTAGAAGACGTTGGACTGTGTAGGGAAACCACAGATGTTATCCTTCTTCTTATGATCTACTTTTGCTTCTATTAGTGAAACCAGTGGCAGATCATGTTAATTGAAGCATGAACTGGCATGTTTGGGAGTTAGGCTTCACTTCTATTTGAGGGTTCATTCTTATTTGCTGAGTGTAACTTTTTGGGTTCCAACTAAAACCTTTGGATATTTTCCAGGGCCATTCCCTCTTGGAAGGCAGTGAGAATCAGTATGTCCTCAGCGCTATGAGATTGTCAAAATGATTGCTCAGCACTTGAGACTCTCACAACCTTTTGCAGTTGACTGTTCCTCCTGGGTGCAGCTGTACAAACTGTGAGGCTCTTCTGTTCCTGTCTACTTTTCTTAGATTCTGACTCCACATTTTTCTGCCTTGGTTGCTCTCAAACAGATGTATTTTATATTTTTCTTCAACTTTTCTAAATTTTGTTAACATAAGAACTGATCCAAATTAACCTGGCATACTCTTTCCAGCTGAAATTTATTTTTGCATGTGGTATAAATAAAGAATAAAAATTTTTATTTTTGTCAATCTGTCAGATTTTGCCAGGAGTATTTATTAAGTCATCCTTCCTTTTCTTTTGGAATTCAACAACAAACATCTCACATATTCTGAAATTGATTTCTGGATTTGAACCACCAATTTACCTATTTATTTCTATTGAAATACAATTTTATGGTCTTAGGCCTCCCCAACATCATCCTTGCATTTTTGTTGGATATTCTTTTATTTAATACTTTAATATATATTTTCATTTGTCCATTGTAAGATAAAATATAGTCTTGTGTTTTAATAAAAGCTATATTGAGTAGAAATTCTATTTTGGAGGGGCTGGTGCCATGGTGCAGTGGATGAAGCTGTGGCCTGCAGTGCCAGCATCCCATAAGGGTGCCAGTTCAACTCCTGGCTGTTCCAGTTCTGCTCCAGCTAATGGAAAAGCAGCAGATGACGACTTAAGTCCCTGGGCCCCTGCACCCAAGTGGGATATCCAGAAGAAGCTCCTGGCTCCTGGCTTTGGCCTGGCACAGCCCTAGCTAGCTTTTGTGGCCATTTGGGGAGTGAACATGTGGATAGAAGATTCTCTGTAACTCTACCTTTCAAATAAATCAATCTTTAATAATATATATATGTATAAATGAAATGCTGTTTTAGGGAATAATATTTTGATAATACTCATAATAAGCTATATTTTCCATGAGCATGGAAGTTTTTTAGATTTCTTATCAGTGGATTTGGTTAAAGCAAATTTGACTATTTTCATTTAATCAGATCTTGCAATTATGTGTTTCTTTTTCTTCTAATTTCTATTTGTAAGGGAGGCAGGGAGGGAGGGAGGGAGAGATTGAGATTGAGATTGAGATTGAGATTCATTGATTGATTCCCTAGATGCCTGCAACAGCTGGGGCTGGGTCAGGCCAAAGGTATGAGTCCCAAAAATAGTCTGGATCTCCTACGTGGGTGAGAGGAACCCATGTACTTGAGCTCTCATCTGTTACTTTCTAAGGTGTGTATTATGAGGTAGCTGGAATCAGAAGTGGAGCTGGAGCTCTTAAACACTACATTATGGGATGTGCATGTCCCACGTGGAATCTTAACTACTTTGCCAAATGTCTGTCCTTGTGTTTTGTCTTTAAGATTTCAGCCTTAAGGTTATGTAGGTCCTAAATTTTCTCTTTCACGCCCACAAGAAACCACGGTGAGACTAGGACAAGAGCCAGGAGCTGGGAACTTAATCCTGATCAGCTTACATGGATGGACAGAACCCGATGACCTGAGCCATCACTGCTGCCTCCCAGGGTCTATGTTAGTGGGAAGCTGCATCAGGAGGTGAGCCAGGAATTGAACCTAGGCACTTGGATGTGGAACACCCACCCCTCAAATTATTTCTTTTTCAAGATTTATTTATTTATTTGAAAGGAGGAGCTGCAGAGAGAGTGAAGTCTTCCATCTGATGGTTCACTTCCCAAATGGCTGCAAAGGCCAGAGCTGCACTGATCTGGAGCCAGGAGCCATTAGCTTCCTCCAGGTCTTCCATGTGGGTGCATAGGCCCAAGGACTTGGGGCATCTTCTTCTGCTTTCCTAGGCCATAGCAGCGAGCTGGATTTGAAGTGGAGTAGCCAGGACTTTAATTGGTGCCCACATGAGATGCCAGCACTGCAGGCAGCGGCTTTACCTGCTACAGCACAGCGCCGCCCCTCAAATTATTTCTAATGTTTTGTTTCCTAGTTTTAAATAATGCCATTATTAAAAGAAACATTTAACTATATTCTTTACATTTATTTCATTTTGTTTTCTTATAATCTGTATTAAAATTTCCAGGAAAATGATGAATAACTGATTGTTAATAGCACTTTAGTTACTAATTTAAATACTAAAGGATTTAATTTTAACTTATAGAATATTTGCAGTTGGATTTTAATACATAGTTTTTATTTTATTTCTATTTTAATTATGAAGGGCTTCCAAATAGCATTGATTACATCTTCAATATCTGTTGATAAAATCATCCCATTTCCCCTTTCATATGTTAAAATAATTATGTTGGTAGATTCCTAGGTTTGAAACATCTTTACATTCCTGGAGTAAATTTTAATTGATTAGATGAAAAATCAGCTGTGAGCCCATATTTTCCATCCCTTTAGTAAATTGTTAAATATACATAAATAAGAGTATTCTACAGCATTTATAAATAACTGACATATGATAAAATCAGTATCTTCCAAAGGCCAAAAACCAGAACATTATTATATCACAGAGTTCCTTTACTTGACCTACCATCTAAAACATAACCGTTCTGAATGTTGTATTTATTTTTGACTTTTAAAAACAATTATTTTGATTTTTACCACACACACATGATTATGTACCTAAAAATTATTTTAACATTTTATCTTGTTAATATTAGGAAACCATAATTTATTCTCCTGACTTCTAAATTCTTTATTAGGTTTTGAGTTTCATCCACTTTTATGCATGTGGTCATGGCTCATTTATCTTCATTGTTGTGTGTTATGTCTATAACACCGCTTAACCATTTGTGTTTGGGCACTTGTGTTATTTCTAATTTTGGTGTTCTACAGTGATGCCTATGTCTGTAGTACATGGACAAGTTATAGTTTGTGGGGCATGTACAAGTTTGTTATTGGAGACTTACAGATTTTTGAAATTGTCAGTTATCCTCAGCATTATTTAATATTGCTTGATGTTTAAACATTTACTAACTTGGTTATGAATTGAATCTCATTTTTTAAACTTTATTTAAAAGTAATTTTAAAATTACAGAAATATTGCAAGAATAAAATGATTCCTTTTAACTTTTTAAAAACAAGGCCGGAGGCATCACAATTCCAGACTTCAAGACATACTACAGGGCAGTTATAATCAAAACAGCCTGGTACTGGTACAAAAACAGATGGATAGACCACTGGAACAGAACCGGCGCCAATATGGGATGCCAGCGCCGCAGGTGGAGGATTAACCAAGTGAGCCGTGGCGCCAGCCCCGAGAACCCCTTTGAACTTAACCCTTGGTTAGTTTGAACTGCCCTACTGTTTGGGTACCCTCCCCTTGGAATCTGCCATTTCTCCAAGGCGCTCTGGCTTCTTATAATGAAGAACAACAGTTATAAACAGATATAAGACTTGGTGAGCCCATTTATAATGGTTATCTTCTACATCCTTTCATTGGACAGAGTTCAAAATCATTTTAGGAATATATAAATATTTCTATATCCATCCGTTTCTATATATTAAAATCATAAACTCATACTGAAATACGATTTTAGCCTTTCTGCTTTTCACATGTGTAACTCCCTTCTCTGGCAGTGAGAATATAAGTGCCCACACACACTCCTCATCTGTTTGAATTATCTCCTTTTGGGTGTCCAATCACCTGACCACAAGTCCATCTAAAGCATTTCCAGTCCTCTGTCATGGTGGTCACCAGACCTAAGTCTCCTTATCTCCTCCCCCTGCTCTCTCTTTCCACTGAAGTTTTTATGGACGTTTCTTAGATTACAAATTAGAAGAACCTTTGATTTACTGGCCATTTATAATGTGAATTTCCTGTTCCTTTCTTTTGCTCCCCTTTTATGTGTTGTCTTCTGTTGATTCCAAATACTAGGGAACATCGTCTAGATTCGTTGATTTTCTTGAATCTCTGGATTGCTGTCATTCCTAAGTCTGGAAAACTATTACTGTAATTTCTTCTGGTATTTTTTTCTGCCTTGTTCTCGTTTCTTGGGGAACTACAGTTAGATGTGAATTAGACATTCTAGCCTCTCAGACTGCATTCTTTTCATTTCTTTGTGTTGTAGATAATTTCTACCAGTTGTATCTTCTTGCTCATCAACTTTTTCTTTAGACAGTAATACTAAGCATTTAATTTTTGTCTTCTGTTTAAGAAATAACTTCACCATGGGCACACAGATCTAGATTTTTATAAAGCTTTATTGTATTAACTTCTGCTTTTTTGTTGTTGCTGTGAGTCAAGGGTCATGGAGCATGTTTTTGCGTATGCTTAGCCGGTTGAGAAGTCCAAGTTTTTAAGACTTTTATCTTTCCTGTTGCTCTGAAGTAAAATGCAACTAATTGATGCCATATGTGTCGTTCTTTTACTGGACTCTGTTCTCTGCCATTCAATGTGTTTTTTCAAATGCCAGATCACTCTAGCTTGTGGTAGAGCTTGAGGCCAGTTCTCCAAAATTGTTCTTTAGAGTTGCCCAGATTCCTTTTGGAACCGTTGTTACTGTTATTTCTCTTATTTTTTTTTTTAAAGATTTACTCATTTGAAAGGCAGAGTTATGGAAAGAGAGAGAGAGAGAGGCTCCATCTGCCGTTCTACTCTTCAAATGGCCACAATGGCTGGGGCTGGGGCTGGGCCAGGCTGAAGCAAGGAGCCTGGACCTCCTCCGTACAGTTCTCCATGTGAATGGCAGATCTGAGTACATGGGCCGTCCTGTGCTGTCCTCCCAGACACACAAGCAAGGAGCTGGGTTGGAAATGGAGCAGCTGGGATGCAAACTGGTGCCCTTTTGGGATGCCAGAATTGCAAGAGGCAGCTTAGCCTGCTGTTCTACCATGCTGTTTCCCCTTCTTTTTTTTAGATATTTATTTGAAAGGCATAGTTGCAGGGATAGAAAGTGAGATCTTCCATCCTCTAGTTTCCTTCACACATGGCCACAACACCTGGGCCTGGGCAGAACAGAGCCAGGAGCCTGAAACTCCATTTGTGTCTTCCACTTGGGTGGCAGGGACCCAAGCACTTGGGCTATCATTTGCTGCTTGCCCAGACACATTAGCAGGGAAGTAGATAAGAAGTGGAGCACTCTAGACTCCAACTAGCACTTGTATAGGCCGTCAGTATCACAGATGGTGGCTCAACCCATTGTACCGGGACACCAGCCCCAGTTCCTGTTACTTCTATGGTGACTACTTGGTTCTTTTTCAGACCTGCTTGCTACTTACTCTTATTTCTGAGGTTCTCTCTTCTTTTTTCCTTCTGTTACACCTGTCTCCGTCCCTTACCATTGCCATTGCACTGTTGTCTCCATATCTCCCTCCCCTCTCTTGATCCTCCCACCTCCTTTATCTGATGTCTTTTTTCCCTGCTGTGTTTCCCTCCAATGGGGGCTGGGTCTTAGTGATATTTTAAATATCGTGAATGCAGTTGTTGAGGAAGAGAGGCTGCGACTGGAGGCGGCACTCTGGTACGGGATGCTGGCGTAGCAGGGTGGCGGCCTATCCCACTGCTCCACAGCACTGGCCCCTTCCCACCATCATCCTTCTTCCCTGCATCACGTTGCATCCTTCCTGGCTGTGTTCACTGATTCCCTTCTGCAACCTCAGTCGTTCTCACATAGTAAGTGAATGCTCACTTGCTGTTAATGTATTTTGTTGTTGTTCATTTACCTTATCACTCTGAAAGCAGTGCAGTGAGGGACCATTTATTTCCTTCGCACAACATAGTGCCTGTAGTTGGCATACAGGAGGAACTCAGACTACTCAATTGTAAAATTTTCCTACATGTTTTGAACTAGTCTGCCATAAGTTTCACATGCTTTTGTTTCTTTCCAGTAGATGTATGGAGCAAATCATCACCATTTTCCTGTTGACCTACAACACAGGTTACAAAGCAGTCGTTTGGTGTTTATGTCTCCATTTCTTACGTTTCCCTGGAATTTAGTCCGCTAGATCCTTGACGGTTTCACCTGGCTGGCTAATGGATGATTCAAGCTGACTCCTCAGTTAGATGCCTGTTTTCTTTCCCAAAGCCTGCCCTTTCTCCCGTGTTCTCCATTTTTGCAGTTGGCTTCCTGTTTATCTAGTTGTAATGACAAAGATCTTAGCTTTATCATTGGTTTCTTTTTTCATCTTGTACCTCACAGGCATTCCTATGGCTCTACTATTAAAATATCCCTTCGACCTCATGTTCCCTCCACAGCTGCCACCAGAGTCTTAAGTCATTGCCATTTCTCACCTGAGCTGCTATAGTGGTCGCCTGGCCACTCATTTTGCCTACCCCCACCACAGCCAGGCTCTTGAAGCCCCGGAGCGATCACGTCGGGAGCCTTCCCCAGCACCATTCGCGTTTAAGTGGAAATGCAGTCCTCGTGCCACCTCTGAAGTCCTGTGTGCCCTGGCTCCTCCTGCCATCTGCCTCATCCTCTCCCACGTACCCACTATTCACTCTCCTCCAGGCGCAGTGTTCCACAGCTCCATGTTTTTTTAAGATTTTTTATTTTTTTGAAAGGCAGAGTTATAAGGAGAGGCAGAGGGAGAAGGGGAGAGAGGAGAAAGGGGAGATGGGGGGAGAGAGAGAGAAAAAATCTCCCAAATGACTGCGGTAGCTGGCGTCCTCTCAGGCTGAAGCCAGGAACCTGGGACTTCGTCCTGGTCTGCCACATGGATGTGGGAGCCCATGCACGTGGGCCATCATCACCGCTTTCCCAGGTGCACCACCAGGGAGCTGCGTCGAAAGTGGAGCAGCCGGATCTTGAACTGCCGCCTGTATGGATTGCCAGCGTCACAGGCAGCCATTCAAACTGCTGTGTCACAACACCAACCCCACAAATACAACTTTACAAATCAGTCCCCTTGAATACCCTTCCTTGATTCTGTTTCTCTTGTTCCCTCCTTCATCTGAAGGAAATATTTTCCCCTTGATTTAGGTATTGTCATTTCTGTTCATATTCCTATATATAAATATTTTACATTTTTATATGTGGTTTTTTTTTTTTTCACAAACAAGTTTCTTGAGGTATTCCACAGCTCCATTTTTAATCGTGCTTCTGCCTGAGGCCCTTCGTAAACACTGTTCTGTGGCCTAAGATGCTTTTTTT